TTATAATTCCACACCAGGGGGGTCAAAGGCCCCTTGAAGCCCAGCACATTTGAGGAATATAAGGTTGTATTGAGTCGATTTTGACTATCTAGCATGGTAGTTTTCAGTAACAAATAAATAAAAAAAATAATAGGTTGATGTCTTTTAAAAGAAATTTTAATATACAGGGTAGCTGCAAAATGCAACTATGACATGTGTCATTAAATTAGTAATAATTCATCTACTCACAACATAATCTTTGACAACATACAAAGGCTCATAAATGTACACCATTTCAAAAGAGAAATTTCACTTCTAGAAAACATGATGAAGTTTCTCAGCAACATTGAACATAAAAATCACAAAATCAGCAAAAAGGAAAATTAATATCCAAAAACCGTTAAAAAAGTCGTCAAACAACAAAATCCGCTACTGTATATTAACACTGAGTAATACCATCAGAAAACCCACAAGAGACTTAAAACCAACCCAAACCGGGATGTCCCTGTCTCTTATACACATCTCCTTCTATGGAATTGTGTATCAATTCAATTATCTCAAAAAAAAAAAAAAAAAAAAATTCTTTTTTTGTTTGTTATATAAGGTGGGGGGGGGGGGCTAAATCCGCCCATGATATAGCCTATACTATGCGGCTTTTTCTACCCTCACTCACTCGCCACTAAGGACGACTTTACTGTTGTCCGGAAGCCCTGGTTCTTTTTCTGGCTGTTTCCTTACATTTACAGTTTAACCGACATTAAAAACAAATGTATAAATATTACTAACAGTGCTCAAATACGAACAAGATGTTATTCGTATCAAGCTTTATGGTATACGCACAGATCTAGCCCTCAGGTACTTTCTCTCATACAACTGACGGTAGCGCACAGTGGGCCAGGGCGAAATCAAAGTGTGCCAAATGTCCATTTTGGTGACTATGGCTTTTACACTTTTTTCATATAATTGAAGAATGGTATACCCTGGTGAATCTATCCTGAAAATATTTTACATTTAAACGAATTTTAAGGGTGGTAATTTTCAACAAATATCGGAAATGTTTCTATAAACATTTCAAAAGCTATAATTGACTACATTATATCAAAACACCTTTTTTTTCTTACAGAAAATTCGGAATTACTTCAAAATGTACACGTTTCTTGTATATAAATTAGGGAACACAAATATATGTTTTGGTTTAAATTTGAAGTTTGCATTAATAATAAATCGTTGTTTAAAAGACAAAAAAAATATTTAAAAATCTATTTTTAGAAAAGTAGGAGAGAAAGTTTAGATCCATGTGGATTCATGCTTCAATTTTTACATCACCATCTTCAGTATAGCCATAGCTTTATGATGGTACCAAAATTTAGCTGCTACTGTTTGCAACTTCGCGAGCAGATGCACGTTTATCAGTCTTGTTTTCGTACATTTGAGACACAATTTAAAGCAAACCGCAATCAGTAGAGGTGTACGGGCGTCTACTCAACCAGTTCATGCAAAGCGTGGGAAAAAAACTCCAAAAATTAACAAACTGCTCGGCGTGATTTAACAGTAGCAAATCTTCTAATATGTTGTTACTGTTTAGAATATTTTATTCAATTTTGAGCAGCTTAATAATACAAATATATATCATAATGAAGATGATATCTACAAGCAGGCCTATATCTAGTCGTCAATTGTTTTTAACTTTATTCAAACACATCCAAGAATTTGAAAAGCTTCCTCCCTGTTCCAACTTAAGGAGAGGTGAGCTACTACGCGATAAGTATCGACTTCCCAACAAACAATACTACGTTATAATAACGAGACAATAACGTTACAGTTTTGTGTTAAAAACTTTATTTTGTAGAACCATATATACGTAGTGAACATTATTTCAAAACGTTTGCACGTTCCTACAACGTTGTGTAAACGTTATTTTGTGACATACCTAACCACAACGTTCGCCACTAACGTTATAAGAACGTAAACTGGGTTTGCTGGGTTTCTAAAAAAATAACTCGTGGCTTGACAACAGGATTCCATTTTCGGATGAAGTTATTAATGTTTTGACACAGAACAGAGACATTCTTTCCATACCATCAGAAAACCCACAAGAGACTTAAAACCAACCCAAACCGGGATGTCCTCTATCGAAGTATGGGAGGATCTTTCAGAGAGGTCGCACAAGAGTAAAATACAAGAGATGTTGACATAAAATGTACGCTCTGAACTTCTTTATGCAGCATAATGACATCATATAGATTTGAAAATGATTTTATTGAATTCTACGGTTAGGCAAGCCTGTAGATAAGTCTTATATTCGCTTAGATTAGCTTCTGTAATGAGTAATTAATTTTGGCACACATCATAGCGGAGCTAAGGTTAAACTAGAAAGGCGTATAGGCCACAGCTTGCAAATATATCATAATATTTAACATAACATATATGGCGAGATGGTATGGTAACGCTGTTTGAATTATAACGAGGCTTAAATAGCAACATTATGTTAGGATCGTATAAAGCATAACCCTAAGCTTGTGTAGGCCTATATAATGTGATGTGAATATGGGGAAACCACCAGAAACAACAAGCAAGCGAAATAATGCAATTCGTTTAACGCTTTTGTTACGTTTCAATTTATATTATTCATTGCATTATTCCCCTTACTGTTTCTGGGTTCATTCCATGCCTTCCCAAATACACGTATCTCATTTGAGAGATCAAGAGAGCTGAAAATAATACACAGAAGCGTATAATATTACAGATCTCAGACAGTCTAGTGCTATATCAAAAGCGTGACGTCAGACATGTTAAAAGATAATAAAAGGTTATGACGTTCGCCATATATGCGAAAAGTCCTGAATTATTTTTGTTTCCGATTCTTCTTTTACGTTTCAACTACCGAAAATGAGTACCCCTAAATATATTGATTACGTATTAATAATATTTTTATAAATAGAATAATAATAAAATTTAAAACAAATGTACAATGATTGTAAAATTCTTAGAATAACTCAAGAAAGCCAAAAAAACTTATTCCCATTGAGGTACCTACATAAAATAGACGACTTAAACATACATATCGATTCATATAAAATTGAGTGAATAAAAGGTATAGAATAAGAATTTTTGGATATAAAATTGTGTGAATACAAGTATTCGTTTAATAAAATATATAGATTCAATATTGAAATGGTTCTTTAACTAACTAGTAACCCTATTAAATAAAAATGATTTAACTTCCTTATTACAACTGTAAGTTGATTGCAAATGTTGTATTTCAAGTGGCAGGCTATTAATTTCACTGTTCCCTGGTAAAATTGAGCTCCGCCCAGAACCATTAACAAAATAGTTAGGTACTTGCTTAATGCGCCACCAAGGACTCACATTGGAGTATCAGAATTCATATCAGTAGGCTTCATGCCAGTCAAATATAGAGTGGATCAACTTAAGTTAGGCTATTATGTATAAAATCATCAATGGTAGTGCACCAGAAAATACGTGAGAAAATATTCAGATATGGTTCATAACCAACGTAGCTACTATACTACAAGATCGAGAGAATCCACGGCCTATTTTGTTGGTTACAATTCCTCACAAGCACTATTCGTTAGAGGCACTCACGCAAAACGAGGTCCTTTAGACAAATAATGACAAGATAACAATTATAACAGCCTAAATTATTGCGATAACATTCAACTTTATGCCTCGCCACCTTTTCACACTCATTTAACAGAAAATGTTAGTTTTATATAATGCCAATATAACTCACATGTATACGTGGATGTTTCCCCCGAATCAGGCCAAACAAAGGAATTCTCTGAGCTGACGTCATTTATTCCAATAAAAGAATAACCCCAACCAGATGACCAAAGCATTGAGCCTATGAAACTATTCTCGGATGAATCACCGATCACCACTAAATGGGCACCAACGTCTTCACATGAATCACGCGCATGTGACCACTTTTGCGTTCTCGTATTGAAGAGATACATACTCTGTCCACGAGGATACCATTGTCGTGGAGTCAGATCTAAAAAAAATATTAACCATAATAAGGCATCAGTAAGTACTATTTTTCAGGGAATAATACCTGTCTCTTATACACATCTAGATGTGTATAAGAGACAGTATATATATATAAACAAAGTAAAACAGCAAACATACGGCCATATAATGCAAAACAATTAAAGATTAAAATTAAAACGGAACAGTAGAGAAAATCCGATCAGCATGACAAAATAAACTAAGCATCCACTGGGAGGAATCCCAAAATCTGCAGACGGATCCGTTTCGGCCTTCCAGGCCTCATCAGTGCAGCTAGGGTACAGACCCAAACGAAACGTTCGACCAGCTTTGGCAGGACCCAAACTAGTCCCACGACCACTAATGATTACAGAAAAAAACAATTTAGTAAATTCAATATCATAATATATATACCGTAAAACATTTTATACATACCCCTTTCGCATATAGAATATTTTGAATGTGTACAATCGATATCATTCCAGTAGTACTGTCCTGGCACAATTTCAACGCAATCCTCGGATGCCGAATTTGAATCTGGTTGTCCTGAACCCCAATCTTTATACAAAAAAAAAAAAATTCAAAAAGTATCCTTCGAATATTATTAAAATAGATACAAAGTTTTTACATGTATTTATTTCTTTATCAGATTATTAAATTACTTTATATATGCAAGTATCGCATTCTAGATCCAACAAGCTTAAAATAATCCACAGAAGAGGGCGTATTTTATAGATCTCTGGCAAGTTTGGTCACGTGCGATATAGCGCTATATAAAAATCGTGCCGTCAGACACGTTAAAAGAATGAAAGGAACTCAAATTCTACCATACGCTTGAATCAACAGTGATTTCATGGTCAAGTGGTTATGACGTTCGCCATGTGTGAGAAAGGTCCCGGGTTCGAATCCCAGGGGAGGCAGCTTTCAAAATCAAATTCCAACTCTAAGCCTAAATGTCTAACTGCAGAGCTGGTGGTAGCCACTATGTGTGCACTGAACCGTGAAGATCTCGTGGTTCTTGGTTCTATCCCCATCGCTACTCTCCTTGTGTTTCAGCTAGAAGACTGAAATACAAGTTACCAGGGAACAATGTAATTCCACTGTTCCCTGAAGTTAGCGCACCGTCTTTTGGATGAGACGTTGAAACCGTTGGTCTCGTGGGCATTATGGCCTATGTGCACCTTAAAGAACTCAGTACAATTCGGAAAAGAGTAGGAGTTGTCTCCCGGTGTACTGCCTAATAACCACAGAAGGCCCCCGCTAGAAATTCATCTTCTTCAGACTTTCGTAGGTTATCCTTGGTGTTTAAACACCGAGTAAATCCAATCTTAACTTAATATAAATATAACCTATATACTGCAAAAAATAAGTACAGTATTTAAGTACTTTAAAGGATTTTTTACTTACTTACGTACGACGTACTGGCCTTGCGTTCATCGTTCCATATAAATGTATTTTCTTGTATTATGTCGCTCAAACCAATCCATTTGGTTGTTCCTCCTTCTGCCGAAGCTATAAACGAATTTTCATCCGAATTTGCAATAACTGGTAGATAACCCTTAACCAAATTGCACATCGATTGCGCTTCCCTGAAAGAGGCGGATGTGCTCACGGTTCTGTAACAACGCTTGTTCGAGTAGGACCAACCCTCTTGACATACTTAAACACAAGCGAAAATGTAAGTGGAATTAAGATAACTAAAATCTTATTTTTCATATTATATTACAGTTATTGAAACTAATTCCTCATTATCCTACCATGGAGAAAATATAATAATTACCATGTACCCACGTACAAGAGACATAAACGTAGATAAAGTGCCTTTGTTGAAGGACACAAGTAACTTTCACAGTGAGGGTCCAAACCCCCGACCCCAAGGTTGAAAGTCCGAGCCACATCCGTTGCTCCAACCATGGAGGAATTAGTTCCTCCATGCTCCAACTGCTTTTACTTTTAAAGTTTTATACATCAAATAAACTTATTAAGGAAAGGCTGTAAGCATTTAAAGTGTTGTAGGCCTATGTGTTACTTTAGTTGCTTAGTAGTACTCACAAGATGGCGTTATGCAGACAGCTGTGCTGAGATCACAGTTTGTTTCTATAACAATAAAACAATACAATATGATGTTAATGGATGTGAATGAAATGAATGATTTTGTTTTATGCGAAATCGTATACAAAATATTTATAATCAGGTTTCATGAGTAAATTTGTCTAATACCTCTACAGATCAACTTACTGTGATATACAGTTTTTTTTATATTTTTTTTTTTTTAACGAATCAACAAGAAAGCCTCTCATTTTAGCACAATCGCTGTATTTATTTTTACGAATAAACCAAAAATGCACATACATTTAAGCTGTGGCCGTAGATTACTTATTATTTTTTTCATTATCATTCACAAAAGCGAGTCAATTAACCAATCAACACTGTAAGATCGGTGGCACACACATGGGGGGTTCATCCAAATTACCAGTTTCATCTAAATAATCAGACTTAAAACTAGGAGGTTTACAGAAGTACAACGCTTCCCTAGATTTGTTGAGCTGGTAATTTAGTTAACAAAGTATTTCTCGCTTTTGTTGCAATATACAATTAATCGCTTACAAAGAAAATAAAAAAGGTCATTAACTTTATTATTAGGATAAACATTAATTAAATCATCAAGTACCGTAATAAGTTTCGTTAAACCCATCATAAAAATACATTCCAATAGGATGATGATCACCATGTTTCATTTAAAGATATTTGAGACATTTATCACGTACCGGTATACGTTTTAAAGACGGTCAGTCGAATGGCCGAGCGGTTAAAGCAATGGTTCGAAGGCACGCTCGCTTATGATTTTGGAGGTAGAACAAGTCTTCTCGGATAAAGACTATTAAACCGTAGGCCGAGTGTACAATTGACTCATGTACACTAAAGAACCCAGTACATCTTTCGATGCGAGTAGGGTGTAACCCCGGTGAACTGGTTTATACAGCCCATGTTGTGGACAGAGGAGAGTAGCTGGAACCGGTTTACCGGGTAGCTCAGACACGCTAAGTGGCCCTTAGCGGAAAAGAAAGTGATTGTACGAACTAGTCAACGCCTCTACAAGTACGATGGTCCTCACATCAGAGAGGCCTGTACTTATCCGAAGATAGATAAAGATTGACAATACAAATGAAAATGGTTTAAGTCTTCGCTTGAATTACATTCACAAATTTTGCACAATTCAGTGTGTTTATCATACCAGGATCTTTTCCTTCCAAATCCAAATTAGTTCTGGCCTTAAGCTTTAATTTAAACCAGTAAGGTTTACCTTGTTAAGTATGTGGTTTCATTTTATATTTAATATAATCATTTAATGATGATTTATCTCTTGATTTTTCAAACCATTCTTTATCATTATTACAAATTTTTTGATAGAAGAAATCTCCTAACCAATAATTATTTATATCATTATTGAAATGTTCATCTAAATGACATTGTTTTTTTTAAGCAAAACCTTAATATTATTATCAGCCCATTTCAATGTTGTATTTGGTCCGAATTCCATCAAAGTTTTACTCAATTTGGCCATCTCTCTTTTTCTAAATTCTTAATTCTAACAAAACTTTAGTAAAATGTGATACTTGTACTCAATATTACAATTTTTTAAAAATTATCCCAAAATGATTGAGAGCCGCAATGATTATAGCAGCTCTGTTTTAAGGTTTAAAAGTGATTTTCTGAAGTGCTTTTTTTAACCATACTAACGTCTATATTTTTAAAGCCTATTAAAATAACTCATTTTAAATCTGCTTTGGGGGTGGTCAATGGATTCCCATCCTAAATCTCCAAGACGTGCTTCTTTTGCTACATTTCTTAGCGCCTTTATTATAATTATCGTCATTCAGCTACTGTATATTGTAAAATTTAAAGCTTTGCAATAAAACTGTTACAAAACCAAACAGATCATGCGTAATTAATCGTTGGAAGTCCCTGTTCTCCATAGCAGGTCACACACAATTTTAAAGACTTCCTGATTATTTTTATAATTGAAGTAATATAGGCGATTGTCCTACTACCTTTTCTTTTTATTACGTCTTCAATTTGATGAGTGTTTGAGAATGAGCTAGATATTTTTGAGCAGAAAAATATCTACTTATCCATTTTAGTAATGCAGTTTTTAACAAGATTCAATTTTCTAGTTGATTAATCTTCTGTCCTATAATGAGAACACTGGGTTTAAAGAAGTTCAATTCAATTTTGAAAAGACATTTTCTGCAATCCTAAGGAGTTTTTTTTTAAATTTAAATTTACTATCTAAAATAAAGTTATCTTTGGCTCAAAAGATCACCAATTTGCGTTTCGTTTTACACCAATCTTTTTATCTTTAATAATTCCATTAAGTTCATTCATGTAGATAGAGAAAGGATTGGTGATAGTTAACGACCTTGCTTCACACCCTCATTAATGCTAAACAAATTTAATCTGATTCTAGATAATTAAACAAAACTTTATACCGTGTATCGGAGTACATATTTTAATTAATTTGCCTTTTAAACCAATACATTTAGTAGCAGTTGACGCCAAACTGAAGGCTTTATTGAAAACAAGAAAAGCCAAATAAATTTTCTTTCTTTCTGCCTGCCTAGTTGCGATAACACTTTCTAATACAAAAATATAACCTTCGCAACGTCTATTCCTTTTAAATCCTCATTGGACTTGGGTTACAATATAATTTTCTTCTATGAATTCAAAATTGTATTTTGCCTAGGTTTTTATTGAACTATCCCACGATAGTTGTTAAGATCACGACGACCACCCTTTTTTTTTTGAAAATAGGAATTATAATTCTTTCATTTGGAATGCTTTCAGTTTCAGTAAAGCTCTGGTATAGTTTCTGGAGTGCTTGTATCATTAAATTACCATTAAAAAATTTTTTTTGTTAGTTATGCAATCAAATACAGGGCTTTTGTTATTTTTAGATTTTAAGATTAAATAATTATGCAAATTATTACATTATATGCACTTTGTGAAATAATGGCTTAATCAAGTACACTTTTTTATTCTTTTGTACCCAAGTATCTGTACCAGAACATTTTTCCTTTGAGAACCATATCACTACCATTTAGATTTTACCGTAAAATTTATAATAATAATAACCCTGGGTTATTATTTTTGATCGTGTTTTTTAGGGTGGGTTCTATTAAAGTATGGATTACTAGAGTTGTGGGTTACTATTACTAAGCAATGAAGACACTTGAAAATACTAAACCTCCACACATCCCACTTTTCGAGTCGGCAATTCATAGAAATAAAACTCCTGTACAAGTAAAAATAGGTTGTTGTATTATAAACTCAAAAACACCAAGAAGTTAATTTAGAAAGCATCATCAACGGCGCAATCACATTGTGATGCCTATCTTAAGAAATAAATCGTGTTTAAGCGACAAAAATGTTGATTTGAATGTCATTTTGTCCTTAGTTTTGTGACTCTAATAGTAACCCCGAGGGTTATTATTAGAGTAGTATTACTATAGATTAACTTTAAGGGTGGGTATTAGAAGTTGGGTTGCTAATAGAGTAATCGGTTGTTATTAGAAGTTTTACAATATCTTGGAATCGCTTTAAAATAAGCGGCACACATCAAATTGATGGTGCATCCTTATACGAAAGAAAAAAAATATACAAAACAGAAACAATAAATACAAGCATTTCCCAATATACAAACTTATCTCAATTTGGTATAGTATCATCAACCTTACCATTAAAATCACCAAGAATCATTATTTTTGGCATCATCATCATTGCCGAGTGGTCGAGCGGTAAGGCAGGGACGCCGCTAGCTCCTTAATATCGGTTCTGGTTCCAGCCCCTCCTCGCCCACGGTTTGGTTGGTAGAACCAAGTCTTCTCGGATAAGGGTTTAAGATGGAGGTACAGTGTAGGCCTATACATCTGCCTCGTGTGCATTTTAAAGAACCCATTGCATCTTTCGGAAGAGTAGGGGGTTACCCCGATGTTATGGTTCATTTCAGCCCGTGTCGTTGTGGAATGATATGAACATGTAGCTACCATGAAGCGCCTCTTTACGGCTGCTAGGTACTCACGGACCACGCCCATACGCAACACAGCACAACAAATTTCTGAGAAAAGAGCTGTCACTCAACACTTACGGATGGAATTGATGCTGTATAGAATGGGTCCTATTATAAACCATAATTTTTGTCCACACTATCACATACGGTATGTGATAAATGTCTTGTGATGTGTCCATACATGTGCATGATTTTGATTTTTGATTCAATTTTGTCATTATTCCAAATTTTGGTATTTGGAATATAAATTGAGGACCAGTGGCTGCCATATTATATCAAAATAGGGTCATGACGTCACAGTCGTTTGTTACATAACATTTGATACAGTGGACAATGTTTTAGAAATTAGAGATTTATCGTAATCAAATTGCTTTAACGTTGCGTCAAAAGACCCCAGAAGGCAAAACATACAATACACTACACTTCTTTATTAACTAAAGCGCACGTCGTGCTTGTTATACGGTCCGTTTGGGAACTCAAGGATTAAAAATAACATTACGATTAGAAAAATACAAATATAACAACAAGTTGATGGAAAATCAAAGAAAAGTGAAATTTAGAGAAAACATACGTTATAAAATGTATTCATATCCAAGCTACTGTGCACGTTGTACCGAATATTAACGAATGCAGACCCATAGATTCTGGGATGTGATGCGTTAAAACCGAAATGCTGCCATAGAAATATTGTGTGAATAGGATAATACATTAGGCCTATAATACAGATATAGAGTCATGAGAATTACTTATTGAAGAAAGTAATAAGAGATAAAAACTTACCTGTGGATAAACTAGCGACATCACGTGACACTACTGCTATTAAACACAGAATATAAAAACTTACAGTGCAACCCATTTTAATAGACCTTCTTGATAGTTTTAACAAGTACGAATTAATTACAAGACAATTCTGATTTGTCGATGTTCAACTTCCAAATGAATATCATGAATCAATTTCAATTGACTATCAAGTGGACCAAGACAAAGCTAAGACGTCCAGACATGCGTTAATAACAGCAGGTTGCTATGTAGATCATTGATTTCGGCATAATTACTAAATATATACCATATAAAGAATGGTCATATTGGTTTTTATCAGGATTAGGTCTATATGGTGCCAATATGATATTAGCGTATGTGACACGGTAAAGTAGGACGACTAATATGGAAGTTTGCGCAGTAATACGG